GCCCTCCCATGTCTCTCCCATGTTTCTGTACATATTGCCCTCCAATGTCCCTCCAACGTGGCTGTACATATTGCCCTCCCATGTCCCTCCAACGTGGCTGTACATATTGCCCTACATATTGTCCTCCCATGTGCTTGTACGTATTGTCCTCCCATGTGTCTGTGTGGTCCACGATGTAGATCGAGCGGTGACCGTGACCGGCTGTGGGAGGCCAGCATGTGGCTGTACATATTGTTCTCCCATGTGGCAGTACATATTGTTCTCACATGTGGCTGTACATATTGTCTTCATAAGAGTCTGTATATATTGTCTTATATATCGTCCTCCCGTGTATCTGCACATATTACCCTCCCACCATCATGTGTCTGTGGTGTTTGTGTAGGTCGAGCAGAGAACGGGACGTGCTGTGTGAAGTCAGCATGTGGCTGTGCATATTGTCCTCCCCTGTCCCTCCCATTTGTCTGTACATAGTCCTGCCATGAGTGTCTGTGTTGTCTGTGCTGGTCAAGCGGAGACCGGGACGAACTGTGTGAGACCATCATGTGGCTGTACATATTGTCCTCCCATTCCCACCATGTGTCTGCACCTACCTTGCCCTGCACAATGTCTTGTCATGTGTCTGTGGTGTCTGTGTAGGTCAAGCAGAGACCGGGACGAACTGTGTGAGACCATCATTTGGCTGTACATATTGTCCTCCCATTTCCCACCATGTGTCTGCACCTACCTTGCCCTGCACAATGTCTTGTCATGTGTCTGTGGTGTCTGTGTAGGTCAAGCGGTGACCGGGACGAGCTGTGTGAAGCCAGCATGTGGCTGTACCGGGCCACAGGCAACAGACAGTACCTCCAGGACGCCAACAGCACCTGGGTGGAGACCGCCTGGGCCTGGGCGCTGGGCTGGGACGACAAGAAGGTCGCCTGTCAGGTAACTTTCTTCTCATTTTTTTTCTTCTGTTTTTTTGTAAGTGTTTTACGGCGCTCGCAACGTAATAAGGTCACATGAGCGAGCGTGATACACCAAACATAATTTTATTTACAGTTGATAAGGAATTTTGAATTTTGCTCGGTTGACGGCTGAAGCCACTTCAGTCATTAACACTGGC